TTTGCTACTGAATTCAAATGAAAGTATAAAGCTAAGGTCTAGACCTTAGAAAGCATTTATCCGGTTTTCTTCAAACGCCACTACTTTTTGCTCTCACGCAAAAAAAGTTCACTTAAATTCAGAATGAATAAAGAGATGCCGATTGTTCGAATAAGTAGTTGTCAAGCTAAATTGCGGGCCTTAAATTTATCAGAGAGGGCTAAAAATCTCCCACCATTAATCAGAATGAAGACATTCAATTGTTGGGATAATTAAATTATAGACGAGGATTTACGGTTTTAACGGAATTACTCTGGAGACTTAAATATAGGGAGAGAGAGTGCGCCTGTTCTTGTACCAGCTAATTAGGAAGTCTGTCATTAATGCAATGGATCTTAGTTAAGAAAAATGGATTTAATTAACTCTCACGGGCTTTCTAATATGCAGCACAACAGATTTCGGGAGAGGCTAAAGTTTGGATGGGTATAGTAAGGTAAAGCGGGTGTTTTAGGCTGTTTTGTCAGTTCATGAACCTGTATGATCACATCAAGAAGAGGATCACTAAATTTAAAGAATCTTCACGTTTTGGTTACTGGCGAAGGCGTCCTACATTTGACAACAAAAATTTGCACCGATTTAATGGGGGTAAGTAAGATGACTTCAATTCCCTGAACAAGAAGAATAAAAGTAAAAGATTTATTGACAGCAGAAGGAAACTTCGTTACATAATCATCGTTAAAACCATTTACAAACTACAATGGTGACTTCATAATAATTGAATAAATTAAGACCCAACATCCACAAGTATGATTATACGGAGAAGGCACAAACAAGAGCACGACCGAACTAAATCAAAGAGGACACAAACGAAACCAAATGACAATATCAAATCGATTGCACCATATCAGACGGAAAAGTGAAATTTCTTGGACATTCTTAGAAGGAACCCAAGTACCGAGTGACCAGGATAAGTTTAAGAGAATAATATTCGCTTATTTTTTTGCAGATGCATCTAAGATATACGCGCAAACCACGCTTCCTATAAAAGTTGAAACTCTTCGCATTCACGTACGTGATGATATTGAGAGTGGATGGCAGCAACCAAATTGAATGATGAAAACATAAATTGAGTTTATAGGCACTTCTCCTTTGACACTGGGAGAACAATCCGGTATGTGAGCAACATAACTGAAAGTCGAGTTCACAGCTTGGCAATTCTCACTCTATCAGCTTAGTTTATTGAATGTTTAAGACCCTTCAATGAAACTTGAACTCAACGGAGCTCCAATACTACAAGCTAATAGAAACACAACAGAGATAATTTTTCATAGAAAAGGCCCTCGAAAGTCGTCTGAAAAAAATGGGAATAAACTAGTGAGCAAGGTGAATTATTACTTTGAAATACAAGCAACTTGATTCTTTAGTAAAGAGAGAACATCTATCCCCGAGATCAAAAGCACGACACGAATAACAGCAGATGGCATGGAGGACGACCAGACACTCCTCGATGCACGCTGAATAAAGTTCCCTTAACTGTCCTGTTTTCCAGATATGTGTCCCTCCTCCTTCCCCAAGATGATATAATGCTTCCAGCCGCATTTTTGGATGAGGGACTTAGATCGAATTCAAATGACTACGAGGAATTGCTTACCACTGTAGTAGTTAAGGGGGTAGAAGACAGTGGGCCATATGTATAACGGTAGCAGGAATTGCCTACCTGCTGCATCTCAGGAAAAAGGTAAAAAAAATGGTCGTCTGCCCCTTTTTACGACCAAATCTGCTCCCCAATCTACGCTTGGCCTCCAAGCTCCCCTCCCCCCAGACCTTAGCCAGGTGGACTATCTTGCACGCTGCGTCAGTACTACAATGCCTAACTATTTAATTAAGAAGATGAAAGCAGATTTTGAGATGCTTCTAAGGGAAAGTAAAAAGTTGACCTCTTCCAGATTCCGGGGACGGAGCAGGAATGACAGTGCAATAAGCGATAATGGCGGCTATCTTGAGTATAGTTCTTGGACAATTGTGTAATTTCCTTGTCTATTTACTTTATTGTAAATAAATGTAATCTTGCCGTTTCAACCACTCTCCCTCCTTTTCCTGACGATACTGTTAAATTTATCCCGAACACCAATATTTAAAGAAAAGGTAGGAGATCCGATTTAAGGAGTAGAGCGTAGTGGTGGAGCATATAGACGAATAGAAGTTCCAAATCTTTGGGTGTTGCATAGAGTACTTACTAAAGGAAGGTGCAGGTATATTGTCGTTCAAAACAATGCGAGGGAAAGCTTAATAAGCTAATGCTACAGAATTCGTAGAGGCTAGACAGTGAGACTTGAAGTAAAAGTTCCTATTGGTAAGTGAACAAAGTGGGAAAATGCGGTTGAATTATGAATCATCACATAATGGGCATAAATCTTGCTTCACTATTAGGATATAAGACCATCAATGTACATAAATGACAATACTGACTCTTAATGCTACGCAACATAATTCAGGGACCACAGAAAATGTCAATGAGTCACCCTATGGGTGTCAATGAAACAATCAACGTCGACACTATAAATAGATGTACGTTTCCATATAAAATGGCACCAAAAATTGGAAATTATTGCAGATTTAAGGCAGAGAGAGATGAGATACACGAATAAAAAACATGGAAAGATCAAATGTAGCCGAACAATAAATAAGAATAATAATAACAAGTAACAATCACTAAACAAATAATTATATTTACCAATAAACTAATTCCTAATACTATAGAACTGATCTCATACAGAAAGAGAGATCGAGTTTCGAAACATTTTAAAATAAAAAATTGAACAAAGCAATATTGTCAAAACGGGATGTGCGATGGACTTACCTCCACGTAGTGCACCCTGGGCAACGTAAACTCATACGGCAAAAAAGTCTATTAACCGGCAGTTGATTTCTGAATTCAAACTACCATGACCCCACTGCATGTCAAATTCGACCACTTTAACAGTACTCATCTTACCTTTTTTCTGCTCTTTTGTCTGCCTCTGTCACATCTGTGAATCAATATTCTGTCCCCCACCGCTCGACTTTTTGTCACTTTGATGTTCCTCCTCCTCTCTGTGAAGCCCGAAATCAGCTAAAGGGCTAATGATAACTAATAAAACGCCTGCCATTTGATATAAATAAATAAATAAATGTCAAAACCCATATAAGTAAGTCATTTTACATCCTGATTTCATTATACGCCACTCTCAACTGAACAATAATGCTACTTCTTATGATCAGATGTTATCCCATGATCGAAAATTGAAGTTCTATTCTGCGTTAACATGAATAATAACGATTCTATAACCGATATTGATTGGTACTCTGGAAATGTCAATTGAGGCAAATCTTTAAATCGTAAAAATGAACAAAATGGAACCCCACAAACGCAAAAGTTTAACAAAATGCAAATAAAATACTAGATAGAATCAGAACACTTGCTGTGGAAAATACTACTAAAATGATAAAATAAGTAGCACCTAAACTCACCAAAATAAAGAGGAGAGAGCCGAGTAAAAGGAAGATGGTAAAGACTACACAGGCTTGTCGCACCATCACTGGAAAGCAGGAGAATCTCTAAAGTAGAATAAAATTATATGAATTCTTATTCGATGCTTAAAGGTGAAATAAAAAACGGATTAGATCACCTTGTCAGGGGGCATATTATTCTATAAATAGTTCTATAAGCGTCAAAAGGGCATTCTGGGTTCGTAGAATACGATGGCAGATTATTTTAAAAATAAGAAAAAAATTAATCGAATTGAAGGCGGGAATATGGACGTTCCATGAATTAAAAAAATGATTGAAATTGCATCTCCAAAGGATAACGAACTTCGTAGGTTAATCTATTGGAAAAATTGCACCAATGTTAGCTTATGGAGTGGTTGAATCAAATGAAGATACCATATTAGAATTTTTATGAATTCAGACCATTTGAACCAAGGTACTTTCAAGCGTAGGAAGATGAGTAGAGGAGTCCAGTTTTCAAGCATCGTTCCGGTAACGAAATTTTTAACCCGAAAAAGGTATACCGGTGAAAGTAATAGTAGATGTTGACTTTTAGGAGCAATAGGTTTATATTCCCTTGCACTTTCTTAGATTCACCCAACCCAGTTCAAGTTCATCTGGTGTGCGCCCAATTTGACCCGGCTTAAAAGCCCGTCCATTGGTCACTCCCCATCTTTAGAGCTACAGAGCCCATAGGGGTTTTTCCTCCTTTAAAAGACACATTAAAAATTTTATGCAAACAACACAAGAGATACAATGAGCGGCCATTTATGATTACATTCGATTTTGGTTTACATCACAGAAATACTTCCTTCACAATTCTCGAATGGAACTACTTATCCAGATTTTACCTTCCTCCTCTCAAAAATACCGTTTTGAAAAAGGATATAGGGAATGAGTTTGACCAGTTCACTGCCAAACGAATGTCAAAGCCTATTAGCCAAAAAAACAAGGCGATTCAAAGACTAATAGCGCTTTTTCGCTAGGCCGCGTTGTCTTCAACCTCAATACAAATTTAAGTCAAAGTGCAGAATCTCACTACTAATCATTCTTCCAACATATCCATACTAAGGTTGTTTGATTACTCATCCGCTTAGGGTATAATGCAAATTGCAAATAGGTTTGCCTTTTCCACCGGTTATATGAACAGAGACTGCACTGAGCGGTCAAGACACGTCTATTTGTTAAGATGGTAAGATTGCAGCTACTACGCTTCAGCTCTAAGTTAACGCTTCCATAATCTAACTCACCAATGAAAAGGTAAACCATTCTACAGTGAAGTCAAAGGGTTTCAAAAATAACATTATCTGATTCTTAATCACTTTGTCATTAACATTTTTTACTCAAATTATACTAGATAGACAAGTAAATAAAATATCGACCGAACCGTACCAATCACCGCTATATAAGACGGGTTTAATTCAAAGTTTATTTCTAGCATAAATACCCCCCCACCCCACCCCCGGAAAGACTGAAATTTGCCAATCTACTGATTAATAAATTACACCGGGAGCACGGCATTCGGGGTTGACAAGGTCAGTTCTGTGATGGTCACGTCGGGCAGGTGATGCAAACTGATAGGATAACTGGGGCGCGTGCGAAAAAGGCAAAGGGAAGGCGACTGCTTAATGATGACTCATTGTTAGCTACGCAAACGGGGGCACAACTGTGTTTTGTCGGACAGGCCTCCCTCTCTCCCCTCCCCTCTCGCTCCTTCGCGTTTTCTTCTTCTCTCTTCGGGAAGATTCTCCACTTATCTTTACATACAGAAACCTAAACGGTATTTATGCAAAGGTTTTTGCGAGGTCTGGAAACGATGTCTAAATTTGTTGCTCGATAAACAGAACAAGCTGATTTGTAAATTTAAGGTAATTAAGAAGCTGAACTTATTGGACGTAAAAAACGAGAATTCCTGATTTTTCGATTCATACGAACGCCATTCTTCTCCCCCCCCCTCACCATAACTTGTAACGCAGGGGTACTAAAAAGTCACGTACTGCTACGACAGTTAGGTACTCTGGAGACACCGCTATTAAATTTAAGGCAAAATCAAATAAATGGCATTTGGGAAGGAATTATAATGGCGTAGATAAAAATGAAATATTCTGGTGTTTTTCAGATGGAGAAACTTGGTCAAATTGATAAAAAGAAAATTTTCTGGGTGGAGGTAAGCGCAGATTTTGTTAGGAGGTGAGATAGGATATTTAAAACAATGATCGTTGAATAAAGCTGTTCCTAACAGTTGAAATTGTGATCGGTGCATCGTAAGCCTTAAGAAAACACCTTTAACGCAGTTGAGAATGCTATGTCTATTAGGTGAAAAAAACAGAGAATGCCACTTCGGGAGAACGAAGATTCAAATGTGTCATGTAAGTCCATCATTCAATATTTCTTAAACGGGGTGTGCGATAGACTTACCTCCACGTGGTGCACCCTGGGCAACGTATACTTATACGGCAAAAAAAGTCTATTGATCGGCAGTTGACTTCTGACTTCAAACTACCCTCACCCCATTGTATGTCATATTTGACTACTCACAGTACTCACCTCACCTTTTTCCACTTTTGTGTCTGTCTCTTTTACATCTTTGAAACTCTATTCTGTTCCCCCTCTGTGAAGCCTGAAGTCAACTAAAGGGCTAATGATAACTTTCGCAACGCCTGCCATTTCATATAAATAAATATTTCTTAAACAAGTTCAAGAAAAGGCAAAAAAGCTTATATCACGAATGTTACAAGTTTACAAAAGTGTGTGATAGTGCTCATCAAAGGAATGTCAGATAGAGTGAGAAGTCCGTTGGAATAAATGCAATGCTGCTGTCGACCTGCTGCACTACCCAATTCACACTAACTTTCATGACCTTGTGACTTAGGTTTATTCATAATAATAATAGCATTCCATAGAGTTGACTCACTTTTATCAATATCTACTAATAACTTGGCGTATAAAACAGGTCTCAGATCGAGGCACTAAGCTCTGTCCGATCCCATAGAAAAGAGCGCTTACAATTTTGGTAATGGCTTTTGTGAAGGTCGTGGACACCTACTTACGTGGTGCACCCTGGGCAATGTATACTCATACGGCAAGAGTCTATTAACCGGCAGTTGATTTCTCACTTCAAACTACCATCACCCCCACTGTAAGTCATATTCGACTCCTTTCCTCAGTACTCATCTTACCTTTTTTCTACCTTTGTCTGTCTGTTTCTTTTACATATTTGAATTATTTTCTGTCCCTCATCTCGACTTTTTATCAATTTGATGTTCCTCCTTCTCTTTCTGTGAAGCCCGAAGTCAGCTGAAGGGCAAATGCTAACTATCAGAACGCCTGCCACACGAGGTTGCAGAGGATTCTGAGAAGGACAAAATGTCCAACTTGAATATAACGAACACATCAGTACTTTGACCTCTAAGCAAATCTTTTTCCTCACATTATAGAAATTCTTCGCCCTTCTCTTTCTTCAAAATTTAATCATTCAAAAAGTGGGCGAGGTGGGGGGGGGGAGCTAGAAGAGTGAAAAGAACATTCGAAAGGCAAACTTACATCAAGTCGACGAATTGAGAAGACGGCAAGAAGAACAAGACACCAGGTCACGGAGCAAGGGTAGACAATCAGGGCGTACGAAACTCTGAAAAAGCAATGCCAAATAAAAGAAACGATCTTGCTTTCCACTACATAATGTACTTAGATAAGACGCAAGCGCAAGTGCCGTCTCCCCCCGCCCCCTCTCAGATAATACTTTTGACTGACAAGCGCCGATTGAGCTCAAATTCCAACTAATAAAAGGTAAACACTAAGCATTCTCTCATGCGTAAGGTACGCTATAGCCTTTCCTGGAAATAAACAGCAACGTAGCAATTCAACATATTTTTTCCCAATTTAGCACTATAATCGATGGCCTTTTACATAAAATGGATGAAAATTTTTATTTACTTTGTAATCAGAAGTCCACCTGCCGCTCCTAGTAGTACCACAAGAAGCAACATCCAGGCCAATGCATTTCTTAAAGTATCGAGCTGTCCCTTCCTCAAAAGGAGACGATTCCAAAGGACAGCCTCAGCAAGTGGACACAAAGTGCAAAAATCTGGCATTTCAAAGTCCTTTGGACATGTCTCGCACTTTGCTGGGCCTGTTGTTAATGGTTGCTGTATTGAATCACTATCGTCACAACAACCCACTTTGCACGGAGGTGGAGATGAATTCGATTCCTCCAAACTTGAAGACAAAGGTGGGGGAACCAGCAGGGAAGACACCGAGGAAGGAAGAGAGGAAAGACCGTGGCATAGTGAGACTGGGAGCAATGAAGATGAATTGGGAAGAAGCTGGTCTTCAAGGTTGCTTATTTTCGAATTAGGAATATCCAAGAAGGAACTAGGAATCAAAACAAAACAGTTCTATTCACACATTCAACTATACTCAAGGGACAAATTAACACTTTAACCTACGGTGTAGGTGTGGTCCGATGTTCACAAAGTCCTCTCAAACAAAGAGTAACTTCATTGAAGACTCCACCCTTATTATAGATGCCATCACCAAGATTACCCATCCAAACGTCCTTCTCCCTCATTTGCCGAAGAATTGACAAAGAAGCTGAGGAGTGTGTTGAGTGCCCAGAGGATTCACCACTCTCCCTGGTGACATGGTTGGCCAAGCGAGCAAAGGATTGCGCCAGACCGCCCGTTGCAATAGACTCGCCCAGTGTTGGCCATCTTGTCTCTGTGGATGGCTGAGATGAATGTTATACATAATTCTAAGTAGGAGACGTCACTAACCAAATGGGCATATCTTTGCTTTGTGAACATTTGGCATCTAATTTTTTGCCAGGCTCGGTAAAGGTATAACATATAACATATATATGCAAATCATGAAAGTAATGGCATTCTCCGAACTTGAGAAGATGAATAATAGCTAAATGTTTGGCTTTTATTTAGAGGAAGAGGGAAATAATTTGAATGCCAGAAAGAAACTGGCATTTCTTTCTTAATTTGCACAGAGAGGTTGAAAACCCTTAGTTAATTAAGCACAGAAAAATTAACATCATCAATATTAAAACCAATTACTTAAAGGTCCCACACAGTATTGTTCATTAACAAACGATGTATAGATTGCACGTTCCAGCACATTGAAAAGGAAGAAAGAGATTACCTTTACTGAATTTCCATTTCGTCCTGGGCTACATTTATAGAAATTTTTCTCTTCCATTAGTTGAGCAGCCTTGAATTTGGTACAATCATATGCAAGGACACAGGTGGTGGCGGCTGTATGGTTCATTTCTCGCTTGTCTGCTCATTGTTGTTTATTTGTGTAGGGGGTAGGGGCAATAAATAAGTCGAAATCCTTACCAAATGATAGGAGGAGGGGGGAGGGGGGAATGCCTACTTGTTTTAAGCGAAAAAAATTCTTAGATTATATTTTTTCAACCTACTCAGCTGGAATTCCAGTCTTTAGAAAAGGGGACACATGCGTTTTCTTGGGTTGAGCGTTAAAGCGCTACTTTTTAACCGTTATCCAACAGCTATGTATTGGTCATCAACTTTGTATCTATTATCTATCTATCTGTTTATTTATTGTGACACAATTTAATGCAATGCACTAGAATAGTCGCTGAGTGGAGTGTTAGCAAAAAACAGAGTCAAAATCCAGGCCTCTATAACTTGAATAGGGCGGTAGTATAACTTAATCGAATCTAGCACATATATAGAATAGGGTGGACTTGAGATGGTCAAGAAACAAACACCTCGTGCAGAGAATACGCTTGCACCTTTAATTGGATGTTACTAACTCCATACGAACACAAGTACAAGTGAAAAAGGTTTCCGTAATTAAAAGACGAAATTAAAAGAATTCGAACTTGACAACGAGTCATAATCTCATCTTCACCACACGGCAAAGATTAAGGAAGAGACAACATCCTGTCGAATAAAAGGGGAAAGAATCAGGTTGACCTACATTTGAAGACGTTGAAGAATCAGTAGATTTCCTTGGTTGAACGTAGAGTGTTTCGGATTGGAGGACATGACGGTTGGTCGAGGGGTCTATAACAGTTGGGCCCAATTCACCCTCGTAACCCTCTGGAAGTTGATCAAATGTTGCCCGTGAAACGAGAACTCGTCTGAAATAGATTGTTTGAAATTATTTAATCGACACCAACGTTTTCAATTGGAGTGTGGAGTTTAATGTACACTCAACGGTCGAAATGAGGCGTTCGTAGAATCAAAAAAGCAAACAATGTGTTTTAAAGCGTAGTTCGCGAGGGAAAAATAATGCCAAACTCCACTAGTGAGATGTCAAACTAATTTCACCATCATAGAGACGACACGTAGTTCAGACGGTATTTAAATTTATAAACTAAATGCGTATATTTTGGTCGCATTTCATTCCCATTTTGTCTTTCTCAAAAGTTTCCTTTTCACGAGCGCAGTCAGCTATCGCCCAATATCACAAACACAAACTTTAAAAGAAGAATCACTAAAAACTGTCTTGATCATCTTATTAGGGTAATTAGTGACTGAAAAATGTGGATCACTGAATGATTGTAATACTATCATTTCGTATCACTTCTCAAAAATACAGGTAAACACGTCTCGTCCAATCTAAATAGTTGTGTATGATGCCCACTAAAACGGAATAAAACGGGATAAATAGACACATTTGAAAGCACGGTAATTAGCATTCCATCTACCATTGACACAAGAAATCCCAAAATTTTGAATTTTATTCAAGGACAACGAATAGGTAGGTTACCCATTATATCTTGTCGGGAATGTAATGGCGGTCACGTCATCTATGGTCTCCATCAGAAAGACCCCAATTGCATCAACAAGTCTAGATCTGAAGATCTTTCAATGACATGATTGGCTGGATTTTGTTCAGGACACATTATCACTAATAATAATCACACAGAGAGATATTACTACTACTAAACCGATTGGTGAATGTAAAAATTTAAGAACATTTGTTCTAGTCACTATCTGTGCACAAGTAAAGGTTAAAATGAATGGTGAAATTCAGGTAAAACATTAATGTCGTGTTACCGGTACACAGTTTAAGGACAGTGATTAACTAATTTCTGCCCAATATTTGAATACAATGAAGTCGGAAAAGAGTTGACATTTTAAGTTTCGGAGATTGAGAATTCCATAGATTGGAAACACCGCTTGCTGCTAATGATTATCAACCAAATTAAAATTACTCATTACTAACACCGTTTCCCTCCCATGCCTCAGATTAGATAAGACATTTACGATCAAATCCTCTCGACAAAGTTCCGACGTGATGAATGAATAGGGGTGTATGAAATAAGATAGAGGAAGAAGAAAGGCATAAATCCTCCCATGCAAAGTTTTAATATATAAGCATTAATTGATAACACTCCGATCAAATAAAATAGCAAAATGGTCAAAGATGGCGTATGTCTTGCAAATTGACGAAGAAAGTAAATTGCTAGTACATACTCCGGTTAATTGATAACACTCCGATCAAGTGGAGTGTGGGATAGACTTACCTCCTCGTGGTGCACCCTGGGCAACGTATAATCATAAGGCAAAAAAGTCAATTAACCGGTAGTTGACTTCTCACTTCAAACTACCATCACCCCACTGTATGTCATATTCGACCCCTACCACAGTACTCATCTTACCCTTTCTGAGCCTTGGTGTCTGTCTGTTTCTTTTACACCTGTGAATGACTCTTCTGTTCTCCCTCCCCAATTCTACTCATTTTAATGTTCCTCCTCCCCTCTGTGAAGCCCGAAGTCAACTAAAATGCTAATGATAACTATCAAAACGCCTACCATTTG